GAACTGGAGGTTTGTTGGGAATTTTTTCACACACACACACACACATATATATATATATATTCGGATAATTTTTGTAATTTATTTATTTATAACAATTTATAATTACTTCTAGGAAAAATTACAAATCAAAACTCCGGCGTCTCCCATATCTCCTAAATACGCTAATTCTGAGTCTATTAAATCTCCTAAATACCCCAATTCTGAGTCTATTAAATCTCCTAAATACCCCAATTCTGAGTCCGTTAAATCACCTCGTTTCGCAAACCATATATGTAATGTATTAATTATAATTTTATTATCATAAAATAAATTTTTATAACTAAATCTATTTCAATTACTAATTATCCAATTATCTAATTAAGACGACGAAGAGACTTTGCTTCGGTCACCAACTCTTAATAATGGAAGACCATTGTCTGATGGAGTTACACAGAGCAGCAAAAACTCTTCTCCAAAATCTCCAGACGGTGATAGTTTGGAATATAATATGAGGTCAACGAGAAGTATGCAAAGTTTACAAAATTCCAGTGAAAAAGAGGAAATGAGAAGTTATTCTAGAGCGGTAATTATTATTTATATTGATTTGTTAATTTAATCAATTAATTTAATCAATTAATTTAATGATTAATTAGGGTGATAATGCTGAAAAGGCGAGAAATTTTGAAGATTTATTAGTCGAAAATAATAAAACGGTCAAAATTTCTTTAACTTCAAATAGACTTAAAACAATTGAGGTATGCATGATTAAAAGATAATAATAAATATTAATAACAAGGGTAAGTTAAAAAAAAACATAAAACTTTTTGCTTAATTTTTTTTTTTTTTGATCGTCAAAAAAAGTTAAGTTTTGATTTTGAGTTTAGTTAGTCGGTATATATTACAATGCATATATGTGCAGAACGATAAAAAAGTAATATTGTAAACACATTCGGACTGTGGTATGATTAAAAATGCAAAACGATAAAAAAAGTATATTGTAATCACATTCGGACTGTGGTATGATTAAAATGTATGCGTTCTGTATTGGATGAAATCGTTTCCAATGAAAACTTTATGGCATAACTAACATAGCATAAGGATGCATGAATTGAAAATAGCATTGTATTACTAAGTTTGTTCACACATACGTTTTTTAAGGTCAACCTCCATCCCCATTAATTATGATTTACAAAAATTTTATAAAAAAAAAAATTTATTAAAATAATTTTTTTCTCGAATTAATAGAATTAATTTAAAAGAATGAAAAAGAGCGAGAAATATAAGAACTGTTATTAAAGAAAAGTAACAATTAAAAATGACTTATTATACTAAGATAGTAATCTTAACGATAAAAAGCATTGAGGTAAATGCGGCACAAAATGTAAACTGTACCATATTTAGGCAGTCACGAATTTATATGGTTACCATATAAATCATACAATCAGTTGTACGTATTTCCAAAACCTATCAAGTTTAACATGAAAGAGACCAAACAAATTACATCTTGAAGTTACACTGATATATTAATGTAAAATCTTTAATTCGAAGATACTCTACGTACGTACATACGTACGTACGTACCTTGATTAACCCTGATTTATATATGTATAGGTGTACTATAATACTGTATGCATTAATCTTATCCACAATTGTGCAGTGAGCTTAATGAATCGCTAATCTACTCAAATCTACTAAAAACGGTAAATAACAAACATTCTTAATTTCGAAGCCAGGTTTAAAATTATTTGATATATAACTTGCCTATATAGAATAATATAATTTGAATTTTGTTTAGGTTAATTCAGTAAATTATCATATTTACATCGTAACATATCAACTATTTTTTAGAATTTCGGAAATTTCGGAAATTTCGGCATTAGTTTTAAATTTTTTTCCCAATTTGTACACCGAACACGATTGTAATTTTCCTGATTCCAGTTAAGTGAAACGGTAATAATAATTCAATTATTTTGTTCACAACAGAATCAAAACAGAATATATACTTCATACATTCAAAAAATAACATAAATACCAACTTTTTTTTTGAATTTCCTCTGTAACATCATATGCCTTGTATTGTTTGTTAACTGCAGGAACCAGTATCGTTTATCGTCGTTATTATTTTCTGAGACTATTCAATGTCAACTGATATCAGTATATAAACAATTCAGTTGTCTACTTGATCTCACTCTGATTACGTGATCTTATTAATTAAAATTTGATCATATTTAGGTAATTGTCATCATGATTTTTATTAATTTTATTGATTTTTATTGATTTTTATGAATTTTTATGGATTTTTATGGATTTTTATGGAATTTGATTGTTGACATATTATGCTGAATATATTATAAATGCTAAATCATTATTATGATATTCTTGAATAATAAGAAAATAATCAAATCCATAGTCATTTTTGATTATATGCTGTAAGTAAAGAAATAATTTTAAATTTAAAATTTAAATTTATGTACACATAATCAACTTGAAAATCTACTCAATACTTGTTTCATATGTGCGCGTAGCATAAACTCATTTATTTCGGTTATGATCGTGCAATTTATGATTATGAACCGCAATTTATTAATAATTAATCATGTTAATTAGAAAAACTTTATTTACAATTTAAGAAATCTTACTTTTACTCATTTGAGATTCGATCATTTGTCATAGCTCTAGATCCCAATCTATACAGCTTCTATTAAGCTTCTAATAGTATATCAGCATGCATAGGCGTCACACTGCAGTAATCATTGTTTAAAACGAAATACATATGTAATTGCACATTGTATTGTACCGGTATTATATAAATTTCTAAAATGTAAATTAAATATAGGACTAAGCGTAAAAATAGAGGTTTTTAATTAGCGTTCCAATTATAATTTTTTTCTTTTTTTTTGGAAATCAATAACCTTGTGATGAAACCAAGATCAACTATGGATCAAAAATAGTAACATCAATGGTGAATGAATAACACTAAAACCATACAAAAATCATCTTACATCACCTTACATCCTAGTGCGGGATCTTTGATCAAGAAATGGTTTGATTATTACAGGATTAGGGTGAATCTTCAAAGCTAAAGTTTATTGCAATTATCATGATCAAGGGATGACATTTTTAGATCTTAATACGTAATTAACTATTTTTGAAGAATGGCAATCAATCAGGTTATTTTATTCAGGTAAATTTCTTTGTTACTTAGATACATACAAGTGATACACATACGAGTGAGATAACTGATGCATAGGAAGCAACATAATAAACTCTTCAATATTTTTGATATATCGACATTCCTCAATATTTACGAAACATTTAAAGTACCTAGAACTTCGAATCGTTCGAATCGTTCGAATCGTTCGAATCGTTTCAAGATGTACTTGATGAAACTTCCGGACACGTCCAATGATTAATTCCGAATTTGTGTAATGTCTGAAGGGTAGTTAATGTGGTACGAAGTTACCCGCGACAACAGATAATTATTAGCATTGTCTTATTAGTTATTAATGTCTGTCACACGCATATCCATATTTGTACATTATTGTAACAAATTCTCCGTTTTTTCCTTCATTACGCAATCATTATATAATAAGTTACAAACGCACAATGCTATGCATTACGTATTGTAACACAATCTAAAAGGTCAAAAAAAAACGTACACTCGTTTTGAAGAAAACTTTAATTTTTTCGAGAAATTTTTAACTACATACATCTAGCCTTAAAATTCTGCTCAAGTACTAACCCAGAGGTAAACAGAACTTTAAGAAATTTTGTTACTTTCATGTGACCCGACAAATCTCTCTCATATCCGGATCCATTGGGATTTCGAAGATCATATCTTAAGAATATTGAGGATCGTGGGATTTTCAAAATCCCTGGAATTTCAAGGGTCGTGTTACTTCGGTAACATAAGTATCTCGGGTCAAAATTTTTCCTTCCAACCCGCTGTTAGACAATCTCTTTTAAGATTTTGTATAACCTACTCCATATAGATTAGCTGCGCAACCAACATTCACATAGTACGTCCAATCAAATTTCGTTAAAACCAATTTGCTTTGTTAGATACGACATATTTGGGTAGTGTTTAGCTTGATGATATTATATAATAAATTAGTGTGCAGAAGCCAGTTCCATAGCTAAAATTTTCAAGTTATTACAAAAATCTATCCCGAAATTTGGTAGTGTATTCATACAATTTTCTGAATTTTGATAATCTATTCCTTTCTTAGGGAAATGAGCGACGTTTTATGATTAATTGATACTGATCTGGATGTTCCGGATGTTCCTTAAAATTAATCAATTAATTAACATCACCCCTTGTTCTGAAATTAAGGTAATGAAGTCAATCACAGCACAATAATTATACCGTCAAAATTGATAACGACAACGATAAATGATTTTTAATGAGGCATCCTGAAGCATACGAAACATTCTGTATTTCAACATATTAAAGTTGACCAAGTAATCAACAAAAATTTTCGATAAAAGTAATCTAAATTTAAACTTTCATGATGGTTGAAATTAGAGGTGGAACCGGTTATAAATTTTAAGACCTGAATTGGATTTGCGAGTAATATAAAACGGTTATTATTTAAGTTATACAGGGTGGATTTAAACCGGGTTGCATGATGTAATATAATTGCTTGATCGACAAGAACTCTGATTGTCAAAATCATTTATCTCGTTCACGTGAAATTTTAACATTCCCTCAAGGAATGCTAGTGATGGGCAAATTAGCCTTTTTTCAAATTTCATGCGCATGGAATTCTGGCCTACATTATGGTAGCTTGCTGCTAATGCGGGCCAGAATTATGAGATTCCGAGATATCCCATGCGCATGAGCACATCACTAATCATTTCACAATAAAATATAATACTTCATAGCACGTTCGAAATAAACCAGGTTTAGATTTTTAAATCTGGTTTGTCTGAGTTTGCAACCGGATTTAAGATACTATAAAACCGATTTATTATTCTATAAAACCGATTTATTATTAAACCGAATGAATTGGTTCCGACCTCTAGTTGATTTAATTATTACTTGATACATTTCAGAAAAAATATTCAAATCACAGCAGTAATTCTAATTAGTCACGTAGTTGTAAGACAAATATTTGATTGGTTATGATTTCACTCCGAATTTGACGAATATGAACACGTGACATGTGTTTAGAAAAATAGAGATATTCCACACTTAAACACCCCAATTAATTACGGCATCATGATAATGTAAACCAAACTGATTTATCGTTTAGAACTGCTGATAAAATAATATTATACATGATTAAGATCAAAGTAATTAAGGTTATTACCGTACAGCGCTGCATATAGTACCCCCGGTCTTTTACAAGAAATCTAAGATTAATTAAATAATACCTCCGGGGTACTGTGTGAAGATGGAGGTACTATACAAGGGGGGTATACTAAAAAGTGGTGAGTTATCGTATAACATGATCATTGGTTGGATCATGAACGTAATAAATCACTAGTTGATTTGTACCGGGATACTTTTCAAAAATGTTAAAATCTACAATTGAATAGTACCCCGATATTATTTAAAGGGGATACTTCTCCAAGGGGGTACTATATGCAGCGCTGTACGGTAGAACCCTAGATTGCGTCACGAGTTCTACAATATAGATTAGACTTTAATAATCGAGAGACTATTAACGCGAGACACTTAAGATTTTCGTGTTCGAATTGTTTTATTCAAAGAAAAAACATTTAGTCTTTAAATCCATTTTTTGTTACAATTGAACTTCTGAGTAGATACGATCTCTTTTTTTCATATCAACGTATATATCATGGTAAATCTGGTTTATATGGGGGATATGTAGTTTTTAAATTGATTACTAATCGATTTGTAAATTAAACGTCATGTGGCACAGACGATCTCTCATATGGAATATCCGACAAATTTTGCTAATACAGCAAAAATGTGGTTGATTTAGTAGAATCCACCTTGGCAACGAAATTCAATTACTTCACTGAAAATTTTCCTTTACCTATATCCTAAAAGATGATTGTCATAATGACTTGATACGTATAATATGTTACATAAAGTTTCAGATATATGAGATATATGTTGCACTGCGCTAAAAGTGTTTAAGCAATAATTATTAGTTAAATCGGATGATCTACACATAATGCTGCGTAGCGTTGGCACATCTCCAAATATAGAAATTTTAATAACACATCGGTGTCGATTATTTTATATAAAGAAGATAACGCCTTTTTGTAACAAAATTTTTTTTTTCTTTAAACTTAAGATGTCAAATAATCCACCTGTAAATCTAAATATAAACCAATTAGAAAAAAATGATAGTTTATCAGACAAATTTTCAAATCAATTATATTTAGAGGACAATAACTCATCAGACTTTTTTAATGAAATTATTAAAGAATTATACAATTTGTATAATGAAGAAAGATCAAAAGGCAAAGATTCAGAATCAATTATTAATACATTGGATCAATTTCTAGTAAAAAAAAAGCAAAATTCAGATAATATTATCAATTGGTGCTTGAATAATCAAATAAATCCTATACCTCAAATAATTCTTGCAAGTTGTTATCGTTTTGGTAAATGGGTTGAAAAAGATGAACATAAAGCATTCATTTATTATGAAAGATCCGCTAATATGGATCATTCTGAAGGAATATTTTGTGTTGGTGTATGTTATGAACTTGGAATTGGTGTTGAAAAAGATGAATATAAGACATTCGCTTATTTTCAAAAAGCTGCTAACATGGGTAATTCTAGTGGAATGTACAATGTTGGTTATTGTTATCGTCATGGAATTGGTGTTGAAAAGGATAAATGTAAGGCATTTATTTATTATAACAAATCTTCTGAGATGGGTTTTGCTAGAGGAACGTATATGGTTGGTTATTGTTATGAAAATGAAGTTGGTATCGAAAAAGACACACGTAAAGCATTCATTTATTATCAAAAATCTGCTGAAATGGGTCATGCTAAAGGAACATATGCTGTCGGTTATTGTTACTATTATGGAATTGGTGTTGAAAAGAATGAATATAAAGGATTCGTTCATTATAAAAAAT